GGCCCGGCCACAGCTGTGCTCCGGCTGCAGCGCCGGTCGCACTTCAACGGATCGAAAGCTCTCGTCGCAGCGCTGGCCACATGACGGAAAGCGCGCGTAGCGTGCGATCCGTTAGTCGGCAGAAATGAAGAAGCTAGGGGGAGTTCGAGGGGGGTGGCATCCCGCGCCCCTGGATCTAATGGCATTCTTCCTTGTTAATGGAGCCTTCAACATGGAACGGCGGGTGCTTGAGCTGGCTCGGGCACCCGTTAACCAGGAAATTTGATTTCGTTTTTTTTTTTTTTTTCTTTTTTTTTGTAGTCATTTTTGTTTTTTTTTTTCTTATTTAATTTTTGTTTTTTTTTTTTTATTATTATTTTTTTTATTTTTAATTCTTATTTTCTCTATCTCTTTTTTTTTAATTTTTTTTTATTTGAATTTGGTTTTTTTTTTTTGTATTTTTAATTTTTGATATTTTATTTTTATTTTTTTTTTTTTTTTTTTTTTATTTTCTTTTAGTTTTTAAGTTTATTTTTTTTTATTTTTTTTTTTTTTTTTCATGGCCTTCGGACCATCCCGCCACCGTGCCTGGTTTTGGATATGAAGCCTAGTGGACGTTCGTTGGGATCTCGTGGGAGGCCTCTCCGGGGCCTCTTGGAGGCCGTCTGGACGCCTCTTTGGCGCCGTTTCGGGGTCTCTCTCGCCTCTTGGCGGCCTTTTGGGGGCCTCTTGGGGCATCTTAGGGCTTCCCGGGCGCCTCTTGGGGTGTCCTGGGGCCTTCTTGGGGCGGAAGGCTCCGATTTTCGGTTCGTGTTCCATCTCTTGGGCCCCTTTGGAGCCGTCTTGGGGCTCCCTTGGGCAGCCTCGGGCGCCTCTCGGGCGGTCTTGGGGCCCTCTTGGGCTGTTTTGGGGCCCCCGTGGAGGCCCTTGGACCGTCTCGGGGCGGTCTTGGGGGCCACTCGGGCCGCCTGGGAGCGTCGGCAAGCCGAAAGGGCGGGAAAGCCAAACACCTTCAACTACTTTTGGAAAATCAATGATCTTGGTCTCTTGGGCCCTCTTGGGGCCCTCTTGGGAGGCCTATTGGAGGTCTCTTGGAGCGTCTTGCAGGCCTCTTGGGCTGTCTGGGGGCCATCTTGAACGTCTTGGAACGATCGTTCGGCGACTCGGGGTCTCTTGGACCGTATTGGAGGCCTCTTGGGGTCCCTTGGACAGTATTTCCATGGAGTTATCGCCCAATGGAACAAAAACGCTCTCGCCGCAGCGCTGGACGTACGTGCGCATCGGTAGACATGTAGCTTCCGTTGCAGCCTATGCCGGATGCGCAGAGGTTTTCATAGCGCCTGTGACCCGCGGAGCGACGCTCTCTCCGCCGCGCTTGCCGCGCTACTGAATCAGCAAGGAGTAGGGCTTCCGCTGCAGCGTTTGCCACGCTTCAGGGCGAAATTGCGCCTTCGGGATCCACGTCTTATGGCGAGAGCGCAATGGTCCAATTGTATTGTGACATCATTGCTGTGAAGACCTGCCGGCGGCCATCCCTGTATGCTATGAGGAGAAGGAGAGGGATTCGGTGGAGGAGGAGGAGGAGGGGGAGGAGGAGGGATGGGAGGCCGTGTGAGGAGGAGGAGGTGGAGGGGCAGGAGGAGGAGGTGGAGGAGGAGGGGTGCGAGGAGGAGGAGGCAGAGGAGAGGAGGAGGAGGAGGAGGGGGTAGGAGAGGAGGAGCGAGGAGGAGGGGGAGGAGGAGGATGAGGAGGAGGGGGAGGAGGAGGTGGAGGAGGTGGAGGAGGAGGGAGGAGGAGGAGGAGGAAAGAGGAAGATGGAGTGGGAGGAGGAAGTGGAGGAGGGGAGGAGGAGGAGGAGGAGGAGGAGGAGGAGGAAGGCCGTCGTGGGCTGCCTTTGGGGCCCCGTTGGAGCCTTTCTGGGCTGGGCTCGGCGCCTCTGGGGCTCTCCGTGCGGCTGTCGCAGGGCTTTCCTGTGGGGGCCTCTTGGGCCGTCTTGGGGCGCTCTCGTGGGCCTACTCCTCCTCCTCCTCCTCCTCCTCCTCCTCCTCCTCCTCCTCCTTCCTCCTCCTCTAAGACTCTAAGAGGGCGGTCATGCCACACGTGCACGGTCAACCAGGGATGTGGGTGCTTTGGGTTTTCTGGCTGATCCGGGGCCGTCCTCTTCTGGCCCGTCGTGGACGCTTTCTGGGGGCCTGCATCCGTCAAGCGGCCACACTGGCGCTTGAGGTACTTCGGGCGTTGTTGGCACTTTTATTTTTTTTTCCCCCCAGGAGCCATTTTGGATGGCAAGTATGGGGAAACGAAGGATGCTACAAACATAAAAACTCGGAGGTCCGCGCGGACCTCCGAGTTTCTATGTTCATGTTATTCTTCGTTCCCCTATTTTAAGCATGTTCGAGTCGACAGAGGGTGAATTTGGAGGCTCTGAGGGTCGGGAGGTGCGTTCACGAGCTCTGTGGTGGACCCTCCCCTCGGACACGAGATTTGAGGCCTTCGGGGAGGGAGAAGGGGGATGGGAACAGCCCACTGTCTTACACGCCTTTGCACTCCCAGCAAGTGGGGGTCAGCGGATGTTTTCGGGCCCCAAAGGTAGAGCACATCATCTCGACTTCAATGAGAAGGGGCTTCGTGCCCTGTGCAGCAGGAAGGGAGGATGACGCAGTGATGCGGAGGAGGGAGGAGGACGAAATGCTGATGATGATGGGTGATGATGATGCTGCTGATGATGATGAGGATGATGATGAGGATGATGATACTGATGACGATAATGATGCTGCTGCTGATTATGATGCTGATGCTGCTGATGATGCTGATGATGCTGATTATGATTATGATTTTGATTATGCTTATGATGATGATGCTGATGCTGATGCTGCTGATGATGAGGAGGACGAGGATGCTGATGCTGCTGATGATGAGGATGATGATGACGATGACGATGACGATGACGATGACGATGATTATGATGACGATGATGCTGCTGCTGCTGATGATGATCCTGATGCTGCTGCTGATGATGCTGAGTATGATTTTGATTATGCTTATGATGATGCTGATGATGCTGATTTTGATGACGATGATAATGCTGATGCTGATGCTGATGCTGATGCTGATGCTGATGCTGATGCTGCTGATGATGAGGAGGATGAGGATGTTGATGCTGCTGATGATGAGGAGGATGACGATGACGATGACGATGACGATGATGAGGATGATGACGATGACGATGATGCTGATGCTGCTGATGATTATGATTATGATTATGATTCTGATGATGCTGCTGCTGATAATGATGATGATGCTGCTGCTGATAATGATGATGACGATGAGGAGGAGGTGAATGAGGAGGCGGAGGATGATGAGGAGGATGATGAGGATGAGCATGGGGTTGAGGATGAGGATGATGATGATGATGCTGCTGCTGATGCTGCTGCTGATGATGGTGGTGATGATGATGATGATGGAGATGATGATGATGATGCTGAGGATGAGGATGAGGATGATGGTGAGGATGAGGATGACATTGAGGTTGGGGATGGTGGATTGGAGATCGATGAGATGCTGATTGCTGATGATGATGAGGTACGATGATGATGATATGCGATGCATTACGATGCTGGATGTTTGATGATGTTGGTGGTGGTGATGTTGGTAATTTGTATGGTTGCTGGTGATGAGATTGAGATGATGCTGATGATTGTTGATGATGATGCTTATGATGATGATGATGATGATTGTTTTTTTTGATGATGATGATGATGATGATGATGATGATGATGATGATGATGATGATGATGATGCTGATGATGATGATGATGATGATGATGATGATGATGCTGCTGCTGCTAATGATGATGATGATGATGATGCTGATGCTGATGCTGATGATGCTGATGCTGATGCTGATGATGGTGGTGTTGGTGTTGGTGTTGGTGTTGGTGATGCTGAGGATGATGATGTTGATGATGCTGATGCTGATGCTGATGCTGCTGATGATGATGATGATGATGATGATGGTGGTGGTGATGATGATGATGTTGATGATGATGATGATGATGATGATG